AGGGTTGCGATCCCATTGCCAGTCAGTAAAAAAGACAAAAAGGAAAAAAAAAAAAAAGAAATCAGTAAAAAAGACAAAAAGAAAAAAAAAAAAAAGAAATTAGAACTCCATGACTGTGGTTCCCATAGTTTGTTTGAATAAAAATTGTTCACATTATGAATAAACAATAAGATCTATGTCTAAATGCTTACATTCCTTAAGATAGAGGTCTAGTAGGCTTAATATCAAAATATAGGGGAAAAATAATTCACCACCATAATCAGCAAAATAACTAACCAAACAATATGTTCTTTGTTATTTGCTGATATGCATCTATAATTCTCATTTTAAAGCAGATTTTTATTTTTCTGGTGCCATCAAGTGGTAACATTATGAAGTGTTCTATAATTTAATCCAATAACTTTAAGACAGAAAAATGTCACACTGATGTGTTTTATCTGTGTCAATTAAATACCAGTGATGTTTTAGCACATAATTATCTAACCAAAAAGAAAACAGAAAAATTTTAGAGCAGATTTTTTGCAACTCATCCCCATTTTAAACTCCCAACCCAAAATGAGAGTTAAGGCAAAGAACAAAAATGAGTAGACCTTTATGACCAGAATGTTCCATTAGCAAACAAACAAACAAAAACCCCAACAGACTATGAAACCATATGAAAAACAAAATTAGGATCAAACTCTATCAACCAAACCATGAGAACAAGTGACTTCAGAATTAGTTTCTCAATTAGAAACCTTAAAATTGATAGCTAAAATTATATAACCACATCATGACGACAAACTTAATGGGAAATGAATATTAGAGTCAATTGTTTGAAACTGTGTATTAACAGACTCCAAAGATTATATCAGCAACTTCAGTAAGACAATAATTACTAACCAAAAAAGAAATACACAAGATTCCAACTCCTCTTATTGCTACACACACAAAGCATCAATAGCTTTTTGATCCCCAGATCCAACAAAATAGGTAGCAATCATGATATCTGAATTTCCAGTTACAAACTGCAAATTGAACACATTTATTTAGCTATGTTCCTTCCTGAAACTCCATTAACATAGCTGTAAAAGAATTTTTTAAGGCAAAACCCCACAAGGACAAAGAAACTGAGAGAGAAGATAAAAGCATCAAAATTTTAGAAAGTAGAAAGTAGATGGATGAGAGATTATTGACTTGGGAAATTCAAGAATGTTGCCTAACTTACATGGCTTGGTAAACTCTCCAAAAGTTCAGGAATTGGTGGCACTAGCTAGCTGTAGAAGTGGAAGGAAAGGCTAAAAACAAGAGAATTGGTCAAAATCCTGATTAAGAAGCAGTTAGGACCCCTCACAAACTCCCTATTCCACTCTATGCAGCAAGGTATACTCCTATACGCCATATGATAATTCTGAAAGTTTATACTCTAAAAAGAGTAAAAACAGAGGCTTCTGGACTATAGGATAAAAGGATAGTGAGAAGAAGTACTGTCATAAAAAGTGTTAGTAATACAAGAGATTGTGGTAATCTGAACAGCACTGATGGGTCAAAGACACCACAGAACAACAGTGAAAATGATTTTCTGGAAAGAAAATCAGTGAAAGAAGGTCACATCAATCTTTGATTACTGTGTCCAAAAAGTCATGTAACTATAACTGCAGAGTGTTTCACTCTGCTTCTATAACAAAAAGACAAAGGACTAAAACAAAAGCTGATGCTTAAAAAAAAAAAAAAAAAACGGTAAATTTTACTTATACAGACATTCAGTTACACTCAGCTCTACATGTCCCATATCACCTTCATTAATTAGATGAGAATTTGCTGCAACTAACAAAGAACAGAATAGAAGGCAAATCCAAGAACCTTTTATGCTCTTAGTATAAAAGCCCATTTCATTCTGTCTCTTCAGACCATCAAGAGTAAATGCACTAGAGAATCTCTGTGAATTACTCCCGAGAGAGGTGAAGGCTGGTGAACACTGTAGCCAAGTCAGAAAAAAACAGTATTATTCATACAAGAGATTTGGAGACTTGCTGACTTAAAAAAAAAAAAACCATTTTTGTAGATTAATTGATCAAAGTAGAGTGTTAAGTACCTCTGATAATGTCTAACATCTCATGTAATTAAAAGTATATATCCATATGTCATTTAAGCTTCAGTAATTCCTCACTCAGTCTTGTTCCTACATAGGATTATACAGAAGATATGGCTATATTTATATACATTTTTTTCCAAACGCCAACATTAGAACATTCCAAAACATATAAATATAGATAAAATTGTACCTTGAACACCTTCTAGGAGTAAATCAACTCCCTTCCTATAATAATTGGAAGCAGCTTCATAGTCATCTTCTTCTTCCTTCTTTAAAGCCAGCTTTATTAGTTCTCCTGCTTTCTCCAAATAATCTCTCTTGCCAAGCTTGGGTTTTAAACTGCCAGGAAAGAGGCCACGATTTTCCCGTTCTTCTTCTGTTTTGTTCTGTGCGCTGTCAGAAGCAACAGCCCCTAGTGCTGAAGAATCCGAAGAAATATTGAGACCAAAAGTTCTAATGGGAGAATTTTGATTGGAAGCCATTCCATCATCTAACTCAGCAAGAGAATCCACATCAACAGTGAGAGATACCAGATCACTGTCACTGGAGAAGCCTAGAAATATGATCATAACAGTAAACATATTAAATTGAGAATCAGCCAAAATAATACAAATCATGCTAACTATTGACTTTTTCATATTATCCAAGTCAATTAGGAAGGCTGTTATTTACTGATGGAAGTCAGTGTCTAGCAATTTGTTTCATCTTAGTTCATTCACTTTTGCGCTGTCTCTCTGTAGCTCTAGAAGACAATCTCTTTGCCTTAAACCTCAAACTAAAATTGAAGACAAATCTTTATCTATCCTTGTTGTCAAAAGGAGCCTTTACCACAGGATCTTGTAAATTGTTTACAGAAAACTCTTGCTTGTACACACAGCTGCTGAAAACAATAGCATTATGATTAAGGGAAAAGAGTAAGAGCTTTGGAGTAAGCCAAAAAAAAAAAAGTACTTGAATCCCAGCTCTTAAAACTTACTGTGCCACCAATAGAAGTTATTTAATAATATTACTTATTACACAAGACTTTAAATGAGGAATAGAGTTAATGCATATAAAGCATAATAGATTATCATTAAATTATAACAATTTAACTATAAAATAATTATATAATACATCCTCAGAGATGAGTTTTTAAGTTACCATTGATATCTGAAAAATGTATGCTGTTTAGTTTTTTTTTAAGAATTGAATTTTTTTCACTCTCTTCCACAAGATTTTGGAGAGAACTTTTGGTCTACATTTGCACCTTAGTTTTCAGACAGAAAATAAATAACAGGTGCCACTGAACTATTTAGCAGTGACAATTACTTCTCTCATTTCATATAATTGACATCATGGTAAATGAGCATAATCTACAACAGATATCAAACTTTCTGGTCTCAGGACGTCACTTTACACTCTTAAAAATGATTTTTTAAATAAAACATTAAAGCCCATTACATGCTAACATAACTTTTATGAAATATAACTACATTTTCCAAAACACAAAAAAAAATTTAGTGAGAGGAGTGGCACCGTTTTACATTTTTGTAAATCTTGTTAATGTCTGGCTAAAAACGATATGGCTAGATTCTCATATTTGATTCTGCACATAATCTGTTATCATATGTTGTTCTGGTTGAAAGATAGGAAGAAAATGTCGATAGATAGATACATAATTGAAACAGGGACAAGTATTTTAGTAGCCTTTCCAGATAATTGTGGATACTGTTCTCTGATACTATACCAAAACTCCACAAATAGTAGTTTCTTAAAGCTCCTACTTAGTTGCAATGTGGAATATAAAATTCTATCAATGAAATTTCCATTTCTGTTACATTAAAATCCTTTGGTCTGTCTTATACACTGAATGGATCTTTTATCCATGCATGAATTTGTAACATTACACAGTAGTCATTTTGGAAATATTGGTTCCCCAGGTTACACAGATCTTCCAAATATTGATACCACATTTCATTATTGCAATACCCCCCAAAATCACATTTGCTAATATCACCACCAGATCTCATTGAAAAATTCTTTAAGTATTGGGAAACTGTCAAACTCAAAGTGGCAGACAGAGGTTATCTAAAATTCCTAATTTGGCGGGACCGGCCCAGTGGCGCACTGCTACAGTGCGCCGCTTGCGAGAGCGGTGGCATTGCCAGTCCCGGTCCAGTACGGGAGCAACGCCGAGGGTTGCGATCCCTTTGCCGGTCCCGGTCCGGTACGGGCGCAACACTGAGGGTTGCGATCCGTTGCCGGTCCCGGTCCAGTACGGGCACGACACTGAGGGTTGCGATCCATTGCCGCTCCCGGTCCAGTACGGGAGCAACGCCGAGGGTTGCGATCCCTTTGCCGGTCCCGGTCCGGTACGGGCGCAACACTGAGGGTTGCGATCCGTTGCCGGTCACGAAAAAAGACCAAAAAAAAAGGAAAAATAAAATAAAATTCCTAATTTGGGGTTAAAAACTCGAATGTTATCATTGGCAACAAACACTATGACAGTTGTCTTCCTTGACGTGTCAGCTTATTTCATTCACTTTCAAAAAAAACTTTACCAAACACCCAAGTCTGAATAACGATAGTTAATTATTCTTTCAAGCAAAATGGTGTCCCATGAAAAAAGCAACTAGTTCAGCTCATGGCTCAAACAACTGCACAAATGCTTTTCCTCAAGAAAACCACGTTAATTCAGTACACAGAATATTTTATGCATACTTTCCACTTTGTCACACACAATATTAGAAAGCCATGTACCCAAAGATTGACATTTAATAAAATTAACAGTTTTTACTGCTTTATCAAGATACTCTTAGGAGAAATTAGCACTGGTTGGACTACAAGTATGTGCAATGCTTACTGCTACAGTTTGGTGTCACTGTCTTGATTCGTGCCCAGGCCCAGTGCTTGTACCCACCATGACTTTTGCATTCATCAGTGCAAATGTCAACATGGTGAGATGGCAAAGAATTTGTCAGCATTACTACCAAAATAATTTTTGCCTTGCAAACCCCCTGAAAAGATCTCAGGAACATCCAGAGGTCTGAAAACCATACTTTGAGAGCCAGTGATCTATATAATTAAATAAGACTGACAATAGGGCTATGTAAAAAAAAAACAGATTTGGGAACAACTATGAGATCTGCAGCCCCATTGAATATTAACTGCCAAGTTTCTCAGAAAATACATTAAAAAGAGAATGATTTACTCAGGATTATATACTAAGTCAAAATTAAAGGTGGATTAGACTGTACAATTCTAGAACAGGGATCAGCAAACTTGTTTCTATAAAGGGCCAGAGAGTAAATAATTTAGGCTTGGAAAGTCATATAGTCTCTGTCACAACTACCTGACACTGCTGTTATAGCATAAAAGCATGGCTGTGTTCCAATAAAACTTATTTGCAGATGTTGAAATTTTTGAATTCCCAACAATTTTCATGTCACAAAATAATTTTTTTTCCAACCATTTAAAAATGTGAAAACCATTCTTAGCTCATAGGACATACAAAAATAAGTAGCGGGCCACATCTGACCCACGGGCCATAGTTTGCCAACCCCTATTACAGATCAAATTGCTTACTTCATATCAAATAGAGTAAGTTACGGTAAAAACATGTTACTAGCAGCTAAGCTCAAATTTCAAATCAGCTTCAAACACTACTTTGGCACTCTGTCAATATATCCTCATTTTCAATTTTTTTTTCCAAGTCCTTATAATGCCCATAAAGAACTAATTCTTCTCCCTATAGATTTCAAAAGCAACAGATTTCATTTAACCTACAATTTTAAATGAGATTCATTGGACCTAGTGGAAATCTATTCAGTTCTCTGACATTTCATCCATACAGACAGCACTTCATAGACAAACTTTTTTATAGCAATATACAAAGTTATTTATATACAGTTCTGAGAAACATATAAACTTTATAAGATTTTTTTAAATAATTAACTATTTTATGTATTTCAAAACAAATGTATTTCCTTAAATGGTGCCTTTATATAACCTAGTCCATTGAAATTAATAAACAAATAGATACACTTGGTGAAAAAGTTCTGGTTTATACAGCTAATCACAAAAGAAAGGAAATGCTGTGTTACAGATCTTTTGTCTGTTCTCCGGTGTCTTGTCACTCTAACCTTCACACCATCTATCACATTATTCTGTTTCATGCTTTGCCTGATTTTCCTTTCTAACAAGAACAATAATACCAAAGGGCAAAAGGGTAAAGTTATGTATACTCAGTTTCTTGGCTGTTAATCACAAAGTTCTGGTAACATAGTCATACTTCCTCTTACCTTTCCAACCTTATTTTATTAGCAAAGGCAATCATAATTAAGTGAAATTAGATCAGGAAAGGAAGACCATCAAAATACTAGGGACAAAATCAGATAGTAAAAATAAGTAAATAAATAAATATTCTATACAAAGTGTTTCCTTTTCAAGTTCTACCTAATTTCTAAATGAAGAATCTTTAAAAGAAAACAAACAAAAAAACCTAAAAGGTTAAGAAGAGAAATTTTTTTAGCCAGATTGGGAGAAGCAAAGGGAAACAAAACGACTTCTGGTTTAACCTTTCTGGGAGACAATCTGGCAATGCATTTCAAAAGCACAAAAACTGACTATATCTATGACCCAGAAATTCAGCAGTTTGCACCACAAATAATCACAGATGTGCAAAGAGACCTATGTACAAGAATGTCCATCACTGAAATTAGTGAAAGATACACTAAATATTAATAGCCATTTTCTCTGTAAAGAGGAAGATATTAGCAAGTACTAGAAGATGATTACTTGCAGTGTATATAGTCAAAAACACAACCTAAGCCTTGAGTATTTTCATGTAATATACGAGTATAAATGAGATTCGTTGCTATTGCGGTGAAGAGAGTTGTTTATTACAAGTAACAGGTTCTCAGTTTAGGTAAGCAGGAAGAACACTGTGGCTAAGGCAGGGTTGCACAACCACTGACATTTGATACAATATAGCGACTATCTGTCAAAAGTTAAACCAACCTGAAGTCAATCTATACTTAAAGGGGCCCTCTGGGCCATCACAAGAGTAAAAGGTGCATCCTTCACCAACACCATCAAGGCAAAAACCTAAGCTTTTTTTGGAAGTGATACAAGGGGAAAAAGTCAAAGGTTCTATGAAAGCGTTCTGCCTCCAGGTTCATATCACAGAGATTCGAGTCTCAGGGCTATTAGAGGGCCCCAAGTGACTTGTTAAAAAGAAGCTACAGACATGAGGGGTTTATTTAGCATCCCAGTTCACCTACCTACCCTTACCTCTGTGCTTTGAACTGCTCAGAGTAGGGCAGTATAGTGAATTCTGTCTAGGACACCATCTCTGAAAGACAGGCCCCAGGGGAAAAGGTTGAGTTGCCATAGAATAAATCTTTATACTATAAGCTATTGGAAATCTGTATTTGAAGACCATCTATAAAAAAGAGATCGGTTTCCTTTAGAACAACAGGTGGTCTCTCATGGGTGACCATATATAAAATACATGGCCTCATTATTATTAGCTGATAGCTTTCACTGAGCCCTGAGGTTCAAATATTGCCATAG